ATTAAAAGGAATTTGTTATGCAAACAAAAATACATATTGTTTCTAGGCAAAGCACAACCAACTAAAGTTGTCTGGTATTCTATTATCAAGTTATTAATGTTGCCTATATATAACATTTGTGTGAAATTTCTTATTTTTCATCCGAAATATTTTTATTTAATGGCCACAAAAAGTTTTATGTAAAATAAACGTAATAATAATTATAGAAATAAGCTTAAATTAAAAAAATAAACATAGGGCAATTAAATTCTTCCCTTTGTACAAAAAATAATTAACAGTAAGAGAATGATATTTATATATATTAAAAGCACTTATTAAATCTTCTTTACTATTAATACAGCAGTCGGGGCAAGTCCTGTAACAAATTAATAAATTAGTAATGTTCCAACAAGAATCAATTTAAAAAATTATACCCAATAAATCCAATGGTTTCTCGTAATCATCTCCATTAAAAATTTTCTTTGGGTAATTTGTCATTAGAGAAAATGAGCCTGGCTCATCGGATCTGTTCATTTCGATATAAACCCTTACAGCGGATAGGGGCTCCTTTGCACCAAAACTTTGAATCATGGTATTACCGTCGGTCAGGCGGATTTGCAGCTTAACTTCGGTGTAGTTATGGGCGACGGGTTTCGGAACTGAAGTCGTTGGCGCCTTATTTTCCACTCAACAGTCGTCGGACTATTTGAAAACTTGCTTTCCTGGCTAACTTGTCCTGCTCAATTTGCTTCATAACCCTCTGCTTAGCAATGCGCTCCTCCTCCTTTTCCCGCTTCCTTTGCTCAACAATTTTCTTTATTTCAAGATCTTCATGTTTCTTTTTTGCCTCAAGCATCTCCTTACCAGACCTAATCCTCTTCTTCTCTCTCTCCAACGCTTCCAGTTTCTCCTTTTCCTCCCTCTCCAATCTTCTTTGTCTCAACTTAGCTTCTATTTTAGCAAGTTGTTCTTTCTTTTCATCCTCAGTCAATGGTTTCTTTTCCTCAGTCGATTCTGAGAAGTTATCATGTCCTGAAACATCTCAATCAAAACAAGAAATTCATATACATTTTAACAACACATACCAGATTTCGCTGCATGGAACTCACCTCTGTTTGATTCTTAAATAATTTACCACAATCATCACACTTCAGAGATTTTGCTGTGGCAGTTTCCTCTGAGCTTGTAGCAGCACCGTGCAGGTTTTCAATTACTTCATTCACTAACGGAGCTGGCTCAAGTTCAACTTGAGGTTGCTCTGTTTCCTCATTAGTTAATAACCATTCAGTAACTTCTGTGATACTATTGCTTTTAGTTTTCTCAACAGCCAATTCTCTGAAAAATCATTTGTTATAAGTTGCAAAGAAAATTTGCATTTGTTGTTCACTTACGCCCTACGCCGGGAAAACCCCATTTCAACCAACGTATCGATTACGTTCGACATCCTCAATTCCACTTAAAACACGCTAATTACACGCGATTTTGAAAAAAAATAGCTTTAGTTTACTTAAAATTAAAGTACACAGAAAAATAATACTCACACCTGTCAAAAAATTGTCAAACGCTGAATATGTCAAATGCACTGTCAGAGACTGCAATTTAAATTTTCTTATTTGCAGTGTAATTTTCAAAATTACATCGCAAATAGATTATTCGTAAAAGCTTTGTTCATATAGATTTATATAATTAGAAAATAGGAAATCTATTAAAATTAGGTTATAAAAGCGTTGCGTAATATCCTGAATTGCATCAATTTGAAACCATGCATTTCATTGTACTTTTGGTGGTAGCCATTGTAGACATTTCTAATGCGAATAAGGAATTATTCCAGAGTCTTCTAAACAATTACAATGACTCAGAATATTTCAGTGTAGTCTACATGTCGTGCAATCTTAATGGTAATTTATTAATAAATACACGTAAAGAAACTTAACAATTTCAAATAAATGTTTTAGATATGTTTTTCGTTTCAAATATATCAACGGATAACTTTTTTCACAGCGTATTGATCACTAATGATGTAATTAACGTGCCGTATTATCCTACATTGACGAATAAATTGGTTTACATTGCTAATGGAAATTGCAGTAAATTTCCGAGTATTCTACTCGATGCTAATCAACGCGATTTGTTCGCATCTCCGCTTAAGTGGATCATTTTTAACGCAAAGTTCGAAGATTTCAAAAAAGTTAATTGTTTAGTCGACAGCGACTTAACTCTAATACAACATAGCAGTGAAAATGAGACTAAACTTACTAAAGTTTATAAATTTAGACAAGGCGAGGAATTGATAGTGGAGGATTTTGGTCGTTTTAGAAATCATACATTTATCAAAACACCAAGCTTCATTGAGATCACTGCCAATAGAAGAAGAAATCTATTTGAGATGTATTTACGTGTTTGCTTAGTCATTACTCATAACAGTACATATCAACATCTACTGGATAAAAGGTACACTTAATTTTAATATCTTTTTTTTCACTTTCGTATCGGATAGACTGTCCATAAACAATATGGTATTTTTTTATAGAAAAATATTTTTAAATAATTGAAAGCTTCCATAGAAATATATTATAAATATATACACAACAATTAAAGACTTACAGCTTTTCCTTTCTACTTCAATTTATTGTTAAGATCGGTCTGATTAAAATTTCTTCTCGACAAAAGGGGGATAATTTCGATCTACGTAAGACGGTTTTTAATATTGGGTTTAACATAAATTTAATTATCTTTCTTGATTTCAATAATATGTATATGATTACAATATATAAGTGATCATACGATTAAGATTAATTAAAAAATGTATTTTTCATAGCTTGAGGAGTCAGAAGAACAATTGTCATTTCTTACACCAGAATATATTGTTCGAACACATTTGCACTAAACCTAACGACATTTCATATGTACTAAAATTTTATGTTAATTTAAATAATAATAATAACATTTATTGCAACAAATCACCATACTACAAACTCAACAAAATAACATAATAAGAAAATAAAAATAAATTGATCTGCTGCAAAGGGCTACCGACATAGGTCTTTCTGACAGGTGTTCATTTTTTTAAGAAATTTTACGGTATTTGTTGTTAAAATTTACCGGTATTTCTGTAATCATATTAGCCGGTAAAACCTCTTATGGCACTCCTAATAACAATACATTACATACACAATACATACCCTATGAAGGGAGTTATGATATTAAATTTGACGACTTAATACGCTACTACCGCATTACGAATATCAAGTGCCTGTAGAATTAGTGTTGATATAGCATACATTTTTAAGCTACTAACCAAGTCTTGCACCATAATTACGGCGCTGATTGTTATGTCATCTTTTTTTTCTTCAAAATAGTTCTTCCAATTTCCAGTTCAAAAGAAAGACACAATTTTTTTTACTGAGACTCTATCATTTGGAGTTATTAGATTGTACTGTATCATCCAACTTTGGAATATTTGTATATTGGCTTAAATTTTTTGCTTAAAACTTGTGCGGTTTGAAAAATTCAAAAAAGGTAAATTTTAATTGACAAAATAAAAATATATTTTTTATACAACAATGATGGAATTTTCCGTTAATACTTTTTGTAGTTTCAAAGTCCTACATCAGTACAAACAGCCCGGTATATTGGATGAACGAATTACCTGCACTATGCTAGGTATTGCTGTATATTGTTTTATTAAGTATCGACTGGTGACCTTTATTATTGTTAATCATTTATATTTTTGTGGACATTTTTTTTTGCAGGTATGATTACAACATTGTCTATGTCGCATTTAATAGCATTATATTTGCAAAAATATTTTTCTATTTACATTGATATATTGCAAGTTCGAAGTGGGAAACTTCGATATTTAAAAGTCCAATAAAGTTTTCAAAATTTTAAAGTAATCTGTAAATCCTAATTGACAGAAAATATGAAATAATAATTAATATATAATTATTTTTTATAATACGTAATATGCCTCTACATTTAGCTGCATCTTGTCAACGCCAGTCACAGTTGTCTTTTCTTTTTAAAAGAGTATTAATGATAATAAATGTAATGTTGGTTGCAGTCATAAGTTAATTCTAGTTTTTGTCAGAAATGTATTTTCAAACACATTTAAAGTAAATATTATATAAAGTGCAAAGAGTATTATAATTACCTATGTTATGTGTGATGCGTTTAAAATTCTATATCTTATATATAAATATTTAGCCATTTGTAACAACCTTATATAATGTGCTAATAATGTTCAACAATTATAAAATAAAGCTTAAATTATTAAATGAGACATTTTTCAATATTTTTTTGTGATCAATATGAATAAAATTGATAATTCGGTGAACTTACAGTGAATGTTATTTTTTTGTAGGTTGGTATTCCAATATGAAGTAGGACGCACAAAATTTGTTATTTTCTCAATATCAAAGATGGCGAATATGCGTGACAGTGATACGTCCCTGTGGCTACACAATAAATTAGGAACTTCGAATGATTCTTGGACTGGTGGCTCAATATGTTCGCAATTAAACGCCGAAGTGTTACGCAATATAAAAGACTGTTTTCCCGATCTTCAGACGCAGGTCAAACTGAAGTTGCTATTAAGTTTCTTCCACATACCAAGAAGAAATATAGATGAGGTAAGAAAATCATCATTGGATTTAATTGTGACGATAAGTGAATTGATTTTCTAGTGGCGATGTGAGCTGGAACAGATTGTTGATGTTGCTGTGAGTGATTCTGATTTATGGGTCTCGATGCTGGCTGAAGCTTTAAAAACATTTCCGGCCACTGGCAGCCTGAACACAGAAATTGCAGATTTGGATGAAGTAAGACCAATATTCACAAATTTGGTGAATGATCTGAGGCATCTAGTAAAGAAACAGTCCGAACAAGTGATGTTACCCATGGAATGTCATTATTTAAATAAAGCAGCATTGGTGTCTGTGGTAAGTTATATTAATCATATATATTAATACAATACTATTTACAATTCATTTAAGGTAGGGCAGCAGCCATCATCTACAAAACATTTCACATTAAAAAAATCACCTAAATCAGCTATACTTAGATCTGATTTATTGCAAAAGGCTTCGGATGCAGCAAGCAATTTGAAAAAGTCTTCAGCTCCAGTTATACCAGTACGATCTCGAGGTATGCCGCGCAAGATGACGGATACCACCCCTCTGAAAGGTATTCCCAGCAGGCATCCTCCATCTAGTTTTCGATCAAGTCTACTAAGTGGTGGGTTAGGTAACCGACCGCCTATATCGAGACCTCATGCTGGGCGCAAGGAAGGCGGTGTTAAGTTGTTGGATATTGCTGATCAGCCACTAGGCTATGCTGCTGCTAAGAAACGGAAGCGTCAACAGGAGATCGACGATGCTAAGAAGGTGTCTGAAGTGGCGCCCAGCATTACTTCACCAACTAGTACAAATGTTACTCCTGATTATGCCGCTGGACTCACTACGCCGACTTATGCACCTACTGTCACAACTATTGCTTCAACCGGCAGTACAACGACTACCAATGTTATAACCCATACCGCTTCCGCAATTACGACGGTCACAAGTGCCACTACTCTGAAATCTTCTACAGAGAAGGAAACTGCACCTACTGTAGTACAAGGGATTAATCCTATGCGTCCAGTGCCTCCATTACTACCGACAACACCACAAGCACCTACTGCTTCCAGCAACCACGTTATTGTAACTACGAAACCCGTTCAACAAGTGACACAGATCAGACTGCAGCCTCCCCAAACTTCCTTACAAAGAAGAGGATTGGCATTAACCGTACGTTTTATATACTATTTCTTATTGGAAATACATTAAAATAACATGCATTATATGGAAATATTTAAAAGAGAATAGAACTAATTAAATGACTATCAATTTGAATTTAGGATATTTAGTTTTTAATATTAAATTATTTGTGTGTGTTTACAGAGAGAACAAATGTTGGAAGCCCAAGATATGTTCCGAACTGCAAACAAGGTGACCAGGCCAGAGAAAGCTTTGATACTAGGATTCATGGCTGGTTCCAGAGATAATCCATGTCCGCATTTGGGCAACATCGTGACGATAAAATTGTCCGAAGATCAAGAGAATGTTCTGCAGCCTGATGATACGTATTTGACGATGCTCGTTGAAACTCATTTCCAAATGAACTACAATAACGGCGAGTGGAAACGTATAAAGAAGTATAGACATGTGGAACATGTGGTCGATCAGATTCCCCAAAAAACGCAAGCCGCCGCATTAGTGTAAGACGATATTATATGATGTTATATTGGTAACTTAAGAGAGTTTTATTATTTGTGACTGGAAACAAAAAAACTAAATAAATATATATATATATAATATAGAATATATTTTATATTGTGAAATATAAGAGAAAATAATTCTGTTTTGAAGATGCAGAATGTTAAAATAATAAATAAATATTACGTTGGTTTTTAATTGTGTTGGTCTTATAATTTTATTAATTTAATCATGATTATAAGAATACAAACAACGCTAATTGAGCGTAACTTTTCGTACAAATGTACGTTTTGTAATATTAGATTAATTAATTCCCGTACAAAACTTTTTTTAATGAATTATTCGAAACTCAATTTAACATGTACAACTCAAATACACAATATGAATTCTCCATATACAGACATAAAGATTTATTTCCGAGAGCGCAAATAATTATATACGTATTATTGAACGTACTTTAAAAGGATGTATATATCAAATACAAATGTACTGAAAAAAAAAATTGTTGATCTGTAATGTAAATAATGAAATATGGTTTTATCTAATAATTTAAAAACATACCCATAATTCAATTCCAATAAATTATAGTGTTATTATATTCATTCTTACTTGTAGAAATAATATACATTTGAAATATTTACACATTTTTGTGTAAATGATATATTTTGTTATTGTAAATTATGAACTGTTAAAGGTGATTGTTTAATTATCCATTTATATGATTAAATAGATCATTGTATGTTTCTAATTTGTTAAAACTTACATTATTTTCAATGCTTTTGCTTTACTAAAGAAATACTTATAATAATACGGTTTGGAAATTTCAATATAACAAAATTTTAATTGAGTAAAATAAATTCCAAAAATATATTACACAACTATTTTTAGTGTGGTTTTAAGTCCTCGATTAATCCGGTTTCAAGCTGTGCGTGATATTGACTGAAACCGTGATACAAATATATAGTATATTTGCATCTTGAATGGAACTGATATGCCGCACTAGGCAAGGTGTTTCTCAGTGTTTCTATAGTTATAACAATTTTTATGAAAAATAATAAAATTTCATTGTTAATTTTTGTAATGTTACAATTACATATATCCATGCTTTCTTTATTCCATTCAATTTCGCTAATTGATGATTCAAGGACTCAAAATATGCACCTTGAATTTCTTTCTATATTTGTATAAGTTAGATCCAATCTAGGATATAACTGTGAGATGAAATCTTCTGGATGTCCTTGAACGACGAATTCCAATTTCGAGGAATGCGATGTAAATAACGCTTGGATGTAGTATACAATGCATAATCGTCAATTCGTGAAAAGTTACCGTCCGAATAACTTACATTTATTTATCATGCGGAAATTTGTCATGTAACTATAAAAATGATTGTTAACAAGTGAAAAATTGCATAATTAGATCTACATAATACATTTGAAAATTTACTCATGAACGGATGCAACTGTTTGTGACATATAGAACCAGGACCGCATTAAGGCTCCCTCTAAGCACCAAACTCACACCGCTGCTTCATTTAAAGATTTTTTTTTTCGTCAAACATTAAACACTTTAATTGAACTAGACTAAAAGGAAGAAATTGCGATCTTATTGAAAATATTGATACTTCTTGGAAAGGTTTCTAAATTGTCTTTAAAGAAGATAGAAAATATGGTTTTTTAGTGGAAGATTTAGAAAACTTTGTTAACAATGAAGACATAATAAATTGAGACGAAATTAAAGAAGTTCCTACCGGAAAATGTTAATAAACATATATTTAAAAACATTGAAAATATTTTTGCAGTGAAAATGAATCTGATTTTAAATCAGTGTTAAATTATTAAATAAAAGAGAAAAAAATTATGGCACTTTTTCGATTTATGGCCCAAAACCCTAAACGACCAAAGGTAAGGTAAGTAAGCCAAAGTTTTTTTTTATAACTCTTTGCCTCTTAATAATTAAAATAAGGTCGTGACGAAATTGTAACAAAATATTAGTCTAAAATGACTTTATATAATGTTAGGTGAGGTAGTAGAAATTTATTTATTGAATGATAATGGGTAGGCAATAATAAATGTAAAATACAATAAACTAGGGAATATGTTACACGTGTTTGAATATCAAAATGTGCGTGGTCTATGTGAGATTTTTAATTGAATTGAACAATGCAAAGGAATTATAGTGTGGTCTTACATAAATATTGCTTTATAGTGTACTTAGTTTTATTAATATCTTTGATCCCTTAATTAAATAAATTATTAAAGACATTAAAGGTTCGTGACTAGAATTCTTACAGTTTTGTGTCTTAAAAGATAAACATCAATGTACTTATAAATATAATATCAGTCGCATAAATTATCCTTAAATTATGTGATTATGGTACTATGATAGGCACACCTAGTCTTTGCAGATCTTTCAGTGGTGATAGGGGGCGGACAGGCCATACATTCACGTTTTTTATGGCATTCGACTGGTTCTGGAGTCGTTCCAGTTGCAGAACATAAGGATAAATCCTTTGTTCAATCCATTCCGAAATTGTATAATTATCGAATATTGAATTCATCGCGTCGAACGCGGATCTCGCAATCGAGACGACGCCGTGGTAAATCCTTGGCAGATCGGAAGTTAATTCTTCGATTCGCAATGGTAGACTGTAGTTGCGACGCAGATTGTATTCGGTGAGCCAGCCTTTGTTGCGAGTCGTTGTTCTTAGATAGTCTTGAGCTTCGAGCTCTACGGTGTTCAGGCGATAGATGAGGCGGAAAAATGGGCTACCAGGAAACATGCATCTTCCCAACTTGTCCCAAAGGAATGGATCACCCAGAAGGTTTATGAACGGCGAGTGTCTGTTCGTGTGCTGAGGGCAGCTAAGTGATCCTATGAACTGAGATTTTAGAGAGGAGTTAAAATATCCATGGCTGACAGCTAGAAGACTCAAAGCTAAAGAAGGGATGGCGGCTGGTAGGAGTTCGCAGAGTACAGCGAAGTGATCGTAACGTTGCCAACCGGTCAGGACTATACCACTGAAGCCGTCTTTGAAATTACGTTCTTGCTGCGCCATCACGTCCAGCCACCGCAGGTTATTCTCTAGGTGACGTCTTGCATCTGGCACGTACAGAGTCTCCCCAAATGCTCCCTTGAAAGCGGACGCTGTCCAGGCAGTCTTAAATACCGCAGCATATTTCTCCCATACTTGCGGTTGCACGAATCTGTATATGTCTTCGGCGTACACCCAAACCATAGGCTCTACGAGTCTTCCCAACTGAATATCCAGCATAGTCTGACTGCTCAGATGTCTAAGCATATCGTCCCATATGATTACCTTAATTCCAGCTCGTTTCTCCATTACTAAATTAGCCACGTTTTGGACGTGCCTAAGAAAGAGATTGTCGTGCAGTTCCAATCGGCACAGTTCACATTCGCCCATCTGGAATACCTCATCACAACCGATATGCAAATATTTCGATTTTGGATGTAGTTCCAATACCTGAAACACAACAAATTTGTAATTATATAAGAGTCTTTATAAACCCTTTTTAAAACTACTAAGAATGCTAATTCGATATCACGCGATTTTTCACGAAATCTAAAAAAATGCATTATGTTCGCTAATTAAGTGTATTTCTGCATTTTCGTTAATTTATATATAATTAAATACATTATTGCAAGGGCAAGGGCTAGGTCGATAACGATTGTTTCCAAGTCAGAGTCAATATTTTTTAAATTTAAATTTGAAATAACTAAATAATAAATCACATTAATCATTAATTAATTAATCACAAATATTACATTTAAAACCAATACATTGAGAGCCTTGAAAGAAATTTTAAAATCTAATTTACTTAGTTTAAGTTGAATATTTAATAGAAAATTATGGATATTTATAATTGGTTTAAAATATATTCCAAAAATGCAACTATGAGTCAAATACGTCTCATCTACTGTACGATTTAAAATATTCTATTGACATTGACAAAATATGTAAAAAAAAATATTTTATGGTTTTCGTATAGATCTATGTGATCTTCAAGGGTAATATTTAAAAACTTTGATTTATAATTCTAGTTAATATTTTGACAAATTTTGGATGTTAAAGTTGAGAAATAGAATATATTTATTTAAATAGTGATAGTAGTTCCTTGGCTCCTCTCAAAACTATTTCGTTAATCCAACTAATAATATAAATTATTTAATTAATCAAATTGTTATATAACTTTACAAAAAGAATATAAATCACAAATAATTAATAAACTGGCCAAAGGATTATCGACCGAGGTTTTTCTACCTGGGAAGATAAATTTAATGATGTAAAATAAAAAATATATTCAGGTATAGAATATGTATGAGTTTGGAATAAGGAAAATATTTAAGTTTTCATAGCAATTATCTATGATATGTAGATTTTGCGGATTTCTCGTAAAAGTCTTGTCAACACGTGATTCATACAGAATTTGAATTCTGAAAAAATTTCTATATATTTCTACTACTTTTGATGATAACCAAAATCATTGATAAATTTATAAATTAACAACACGAGACGGCTTCACCACTAATATATAATCATTTTAGAAGAGACAAAAACTTAAATCATATACTTAGATTACCTAATATTTTACGTTGTTTCGTTTCAGTAGCGGAACTTCAAATCTCTTTAAGAAAAAAATGATGGCACCTGACAAATTTTTAGATGAGGCCAACCTTGATTGTAAATAGAGAAAATTATAAAACCCTAAATAATAGTTACACAAATTGATAAAGTTCTCGGGGGTTTAGTGTGTGCTCTCGAAGGGTCACATTAAGAAAATCGTTGGACCTTGGAGTTTAGTCTTTTAGGAATGTATACGGGATTATTATTGTACTTAATTTAAATAGTAATTACCTGACTAATCATTTCTGATATGAAATCCAAGGACAAATTCTTACTGGGACATAGTGCTTGCGGACTGGTAAGAACTTCTCTAATTTTAATAAATTCTCGGTGCTTGAGCGCGAACTCCACATGTCCAAACGTTTGTATCAAAGGGATAACAGTTAATTTCAGCTCGTCAGCTGCGCGCTGAATCTCTAGAATCTGCTTCTTGGAGTATGCGTTCTTCGCTGCCAAATGCTTCAAACTCCCGTCATATGGGAACATGTCCTCGTATTCTGCGGATGTAAACAAACAGTTAAATTGTGAATGCAGAGGCGGCGGCGGCGGGAAACGTTACCTATAAGGATTCCTGTTGCACCTAAATTTTTTATCAGCGGCAGGATCCTCTTGATGTAATCGATTTTTGGCGGGGCGCCTTTCAAATCGAAGTGAACGATCCGCCGTTTCGGTACGTACGGATTTTGCCCGTCCAGGTTCACGTTCGGTATACCGAGCTTCTCTTCCACGTCCTTTCGCTCCTCTTCCTCATTCTGATCCTCCCTGCTTTGCTTCCTCCTGTGCACCCTTTCCAAACTGACCTCGTTCGCTTTGGTAGTTTTCTCGACGAACACCATTCCATTTCTTCTGTCTGCCTCCTCGGCACTTCCATTGCGGTTCTGCTGAAGCCGGCTCGAATACTGTAGTCCGAACAGTATTATCGTGATGAGAAGACCGGCGACTAGAAGGGTGGTCTTCTTCCTCCACACCGTCAGCAACAATCGCTGAGTGTAATTGTTCATTGTTTAGTTTCTTTGTGGCATTTGATTTGATCCAACTACATTATAAAGGCCGAATTGATTCTCTGTGCTTTCACTTCAAACAACACATACACACACCACTCACTCAGGCACGCACAGTTCAATCGTCTCGTTTCATTCCCCTTTTAATAATATACACACACACATGCACAGTATGTCTCCTCACCCAGTGCAAGAAATATGCTGCTGCCCCCCGCAACACGCAAACTGCGCCGGTCGTTATGTAACCATGGCATTAGCGAACGCGCGCGCTGCTCGCCGCCTCCACAGCACAATTTCAATTGCAAAGAAAAACGGTCTTTGTCATCCCATATACACTATGGACTATCAACATTGGTATTTCATATTATCAGTAATAGTATTTTAAATAATATAATATCTCACTTACTAACGTTTTGCAAAGATTTGTCTGTACGTGGATCAACAATTTTTGTAAATAAATTTTCCAAGATGTGAAATAATTATTAAAATATCTTAATCATTTTGAAATGCCATATTTAATTTGCTATAATCTTTTGAAGACATCATACAAAAACTTCAATTAAGTGAAGCATAAGGCAAAATATTGAAAATGAATAAATAAGTTACAGGATATTGTAATTAATAAAATAATTAAGATAATATAATTGACATTATAAATTTTAAATTCGTCATTTTGAAAATTATTATGTTATGAATAAATAAGTCATTAAGGTGCAACTTAAAATATACTAAAAATAACTGTATTATTTATAATCTAATTAGAAAATCAGTAGCGGTTTTCCAAGGAAATAATATATCAAAGTATTCGAAAACAAGTCAATTTATATTACTGGACCTTAATATATGAAAAAAATACCCAAAAACACATCTAGACAAATTGAAAGCAGTTGTAACTTAAATTTAGCAAAGTAAACAACATTATATTAATAATTCAATTACTAGAATGGAAAACTGCAGGAGGAGATTCCATCACCATCGCCTTGAAAAAGATATATGCTTACTTGAAAAACTTAATAGCTTACAGATAATTAATTAAGGTCATAAAACGAGTTTGAGATGAGTACTACAATTAATATAATCATTAATAACTAACTAGGATAAGTTATGTGAAATTTATTATTGCTTTATGTAGTAAATAACTATTCGTTAGTACATTATTTACCACTAACATTTACAATTGTAAGACATTATTGCAAATGATATATACGACCACTTTCCTATAAATGTTACGAAGAATCATAAGAATGCAGAATCATAAGAATGCAGAATAATTACCTTCTACACTCAGGGCCGGATTTGAGCCGATTGAAGCGATTGCGCCATCACCATGTGATATAACTTTTTATTTTTACAATTGAATTTTGGATTGTGTTTTAAATAAATATACAAAATCTATATTTAAATATGTAAAATATAACAGTTAATTAATTTTGTTATTTATAGTTGGAGGAGCCCCACAAAAAAAAATTCAATCGCACTTATTGGATCCGGCCCTGTCTACTCTATTCCATAAATATACCAAGATAGAAAATTTGAATTTATTTACTTATTTTTATTGATCCTAATTCGGAAGTTAACAAAGCTAACGATAGAAGTCGTTCTGTCTGTTTGAAACTATTTTCTTTTAAGTTTAAATTTTGATACATCTAAGAATAAAATGATTATATTAATAAATATGATTATTGGATACAAAAACTAGCTATAAAGACCTATACAAATTTAATAATTATTAAATAAAACTTTACAAAACATTGCTTTCTATTTTATATAAATCTAGATATTTAGTTTCTAAATCTAATAAAATTTTACCTTATTTTTGCACTTAACAATAATAATAAAAAGTAGTGTTTCTAGCATGTTTACTGTTACCAGTATGAATACAAACTAAAGAATAATAATTCTAGAAATAAAGCTATACACTCTGGAGAATTAGAAATCAATATATCAATTCACACAAATATATCTATTGCAACACAAATAACTTTTACCGACAGAATGAAAACAAATATTACAATAAGAAATATGGTATTTCTATTATATAATGAAATTGTATTATTATAATTATAAATACGAAAAATTAACATCATAAGATTTTTTTACTTTTGTTCGAATTTCTCATATACAACATATACAATTCTTATTTGTTCCAAACAATCATTAAAATTTATTGAATTAAATAATAATGTTAAATATTATTAATAAGAAAATAAATTAAATTTAATATAGGATTATTTTATTTAACATGCACTTCAATTAAAAAAATCATTTATTTCTGGCTCCAAGAGCAAGAGAAAGTTTGACGCTGGGCGTCATAAACACGTTAAATATAGTTGCATGGAAGAGACAAACAAACGAGGAATTTCTCACTAACTCAAAAGTATTATAAGAAGCTACCTCAAGGTGGGGGCCTATCACTGATCCCTGTGGAACTCCGCTATTTATTTATCTTTATGAACGGTCCATAAAGGTCCCGAGCATCCAAACTGTCTTATGACGGATCAATCAATAGGTAGCAAAGACTGAGGTACTGACCGAAAAGGCAAACGTATCCACATGATTCACATCATCCAGAGGTCTGAAATTCGCGCCAGAAAAAAACAGAAGCGGTGCTACTGATCGGAAGGAGAAAAATAAGATCAACAAAATTTACAATATCAGGAGGAGGACGACGGCCCTTAACACACTTTTTTTTAGATGCTGCAGATGGGATAGGATTAATCACGACGCTGGAGCTAGAAAATCTTCCGTTAAGAAAACTGGGAGATAATATCAACATATGCAATCATCATCGCAGAGTTTTAGTGAGGAAAGAATCCCACAGTACCAGGAATCCACAGTGGTGTATATGCAAAGTTTCCTCTCATCTACAAAAAAAAATACTTAACGAATGCGGAATTCATCTCACGACGAATAGGTGGATTCCTTTTGTATGTCTATGTGGTCTATGTCTTAGTTTTGTTTTTTTTTATCACATAAAAACCCATTAGTTTGACAAATAAAACTTTTTTTTGAGGAAATTTGATGTGATTTTGATGAAATTTTATTTCTATTATATTTGTATATAATTAATGTGTCGATAAATTTTTGGAGAAAAATAAAAAAAAAAATAACAATCAGTCCTCGACCTACGCGATTTTAGTTGTATCTCAGTTGTGTGCTTGCGCGAAATAAATTTCTTTCTTGGTCGTCATTACAAAAATAAAAGCTAAGTCATGTTAAACAAACGTAAAAATGATTCGCAAATTAATAATAAAAAGGTCTTATTATGGAGACCAAAAAAACACAATACTATTACATTTATCTGAATTAACTTTAGATAATGAAAATAAAATGCAATACTTCTTTATAAAAAAATATTGGCGCTGTATGTTTCACCTTCTAACAAGAAAAAAAAACATTTGTTTTTTAAATATTTGAATTTGTTCCAGATATATATATTTATAGCGCTTAATTAAAATTCTGTAATAAGTTAACCCATAGAAGACATTATTGTATCATATTCAAGGATACATTATTTTTTTGTAATATTAAAAAAAATAATATTTAGTAATGTTAAAAATTATTATGTCAACTAGATATTTAGTAAATATAAACTACTTCATTTACTACTATAATATTATTAATTATGTATTGTTTAAACAAAAAATGTATAATTGTAATGTGCTATATTATGTATTTTTATTACTTAGACTTTATTCAAGGATAAATTGCAAAAACTGCAATTATTTATTATAATTGATAGATTTACTTAATAAAAATTATTTTAAATAACTTGGCAACTACTCTCGATTTAACTATAAAGATTTATGTATAAAAAATAATTTTGTGTACTATTTTTTTAGAATTTATTTGAATTTTGCTGAATGTTTAAAAACCCTTGCATAAATGTTTCAGAAGAAAAAACAGCAAGAAGACATCCATAAAAGAATAAAAAGGTGAATTAAAACTTTATAGATAATTTTTCTCAAGCATTTTTTTTCGACATGGAACTCATTATCGTATTTTACTTTAATTTATATGGGAAAAATTGCTTTGATTAACAAGTTTTTTGCGATACGAGTAAGAACCTAGAAGGTATTATGGTATTAGGTAATAGTAAAACAGTTGACTATATCATAATTTTATTTAAAAAGAAAAATATTTTTCATAAACATTACATATCACTGTGTTTAATTAATTGAAATAGTGTTGACTCTAATATTTTGTAATATTCACCATGTGCTACATATCTAAGAATCTAAATTATCACTTTAAAACGTGCAAAGCAAAACTACTCTATCATCCAGAGTCAAATAAATTAATTTAGGAACTAATGAACTATATACACGAAATGCTGGGTAGAATAATCATCTCAGATCTCCTTCCAATGGACAATTGCTCGTTGGGTATCCGATGCTAAACCAAACGGTTTGGAGTTATCGGAAGCAACGTACGTGTTAACTTGACAATCGTACATTTCTTTATAGCCATATACGCTAGAACCCATTTGCTGTGAATCATAAGATTATTAATAAAATTAAATTAAAAATGTAAATTAGTTGACTTACTTGAGTCAAAGGACTGGTGTTTGTAGTTAGAATTCCCTTGAAATTCTTGTTTTTCGCTACAATCAACACTTGATCTTCCATATATTTCATTACTGCCACGTTTTCTTTGGACGAAAGGGAAGAGCTGGTGGCCATCATGAACGAATGCAAGACATTTCCCTTTCCGGTCGGCAATTGGTTATCCCTGACGGGACCTTCGATGGTCTCCAAGAATTCGAAAATCACGACCAGCTTGGAGGTAATTTCCACTTCCGGTTCGTCGTGCGCGTCAAAATTTAAAGAGACACCGACGATTTTCCCCGTCTCAGTGGAAATAGCCACAAAACTGAGATTCTTTTCGACCAGCGGCGCCCAGATCTTGCTCATCAATTCTGAGTAATCGGATTCGTATATGTCTGGCATAAGCCACTGCTCGAGATCGGCCTTTTGGTAAAAACTGGTGGTTATCATGCTAAAAATAATAAATGAATTAAATTAATATAATAATATTGCGTGTTTTGTATATTTACTCCAAGACATCGGCTCTGATCTCGTCGTGTAGAAATTCCATCCTAAAGATTGGAGGCTCTGTTTTCGTTAGTGTGTTATCTTTGGATTGGTGCATCCTCTCCAGGACCTCGCCTAAGTCCATAGCGGCAATAAAATCACTAATGCTGATGTAATAGGAAGCTTCGTTGAGGCAAGTAATTGTGAAGATCGAGTTTAAAGAGTTGCCTCCGATTTCGTAGAAGTTCACGTTAAGGCTGATAGTGGACCGCGCGGAACGACCTAACACAGAAGCTACGGTTTCGAAGAGTACTTTAGCAGCCGGCATTTTATCCTTCGTTACGCCTGAGTAATCAATTTCAGCCTCGAAGTGGGAGTCATCTGATGAAAGAAATATAAATTAGTTATGTTAATTGTCTCGTTGTTTGAGCACTTGCCATTATTATTGGTATATTCATAGCCTTTTAACAAGGATTGTCTGTCAATTTTTCCGTTGACCAAGAGCGGAATTGATTCCATTTGGATTACTTGCGGTATCCATGTAACTTGTTAAAACTTCTTTCAGCATGGATTCGATTTGGTTCTCGCTCATCGAAGCCTCCGTGGTGACGAAAGCTAATAAAGCTTGCTTCATTTCACCAGGTTTGTAGCATAGAGCCACGCATTTATCAACGCCCTCGATGGATGACACGGCTTTTTCCACTTCGGATAGATCCACTCGATGGCCTCTGATCTTCACCTGCGAATCAGTTCTTCCTTCATACTGAAGACAGCCATTCTCGACGCGCGCAAAATCTCCTGTGCGGAACAACCTCGAAAACATCGGATCGATTGCCAATGGATTATCAATAAACTTCTCCGGGTCTCTGCCGTTTACATAACCTGCGGCTAAATTATAGCCAGATACGAAAAGCTCACCCACGTCCCCGGCTGTTACTGGCCTATAATCCCTATCTAACAGGTAGAGGATGGTATTGTCTACCGGCCCACCTATTGGCACCTTGGTCTCGTGCTTCAGCTGACTCCTGCTTCTAATAACGTGAAAAGAAACGTCACCCATAATCTCAGTGCTTCCGTAAAAGTTGCACAGCTTGTGCTCAGAATTTTCGGGGAAGTACTTAAAAAATTCTTCTGCCAAAGATACCGAGAGGGTTTCACCAGAACACACCCATATCTTGAGATTGCTTAAAGCATTTTTATCCTTCTATAATTGATTGAATTTAATATAATTCAATTTTTAAAATCACTATAATAATTACCTTTAACTCGAGGAACATGAGCAATGATCTTAAAAGGGTTGGGACTAAGACCAGGCGTTCGATCTAAAATTAACAAATTTTAGTTTAATATTTATAGTTTAAGTATTAATAGTTTTTATTAAGTACTTGATATTTTTCCAATAAGGCGACCATTTCTTCAGGATCCTTGGTGGTTTCTTTCTTCACCACCAAAATAGATAGACCGTTGAGGAGCGGGCCCCATATTTCGGATACGCTGTCGACGAAGGTTAAGGCCGTCTTTA